GTTGTGTAAATTTGAGGACAACAGCACCCCTCGTCAGCGGGGAGTTTGAATTGCATGTGTGAACTTTAAGGCACTTCCTACGGTTGTCCACTTACAATTTAATGTTCTGATTGATTGACTGTGTGTGTGTATGTGTGTGGATTTCCATTAGCATAAATTCTAATTACTGTTTCTGAGACAAGCGTGAGTCTGAGGACAATTTAAAAACGGTAAGATGAAAATCAAAATTGAGGACAGAGGTGCAGTAGTGATCCACGGAAATCCTATGGACTCACTGTCTGGTTTGCGCCGCGCCGCAACCTAGCCTAACAGTTTCAGCTATCCAGCCATCGATCGAATGTCAGTGAATGACCTTGACACTTTGCATTCCGAACTCCGTGCGTACTACTACTACTACTACTACTACTACTACTACTACTACTACTACTACTACTACTACTACTACTACTACTACTACTACTACTACTACTACTACTACTACTACTACTACTACTACTACTACCACTACTACTACTACTACTACTACTACTATCAATTGAGTTATTTGTTAGTCTTCCAACTGCGCATTCGCGTTGAAACATCTCTATGAATTATGCAAAATGGTGAAAGTTGGTTCTCCCAGTTCCTCTCGCCCCCCTCCCCTCCCCTCTTTTTCTCCGTGGCTGCTCATATTTAACTTCCGTTGTGTACCAGGCAGATAGACCACTTACACAGAGATGTCCCCGAAAAATATGAGATGCTATCTTCAAATCATATGGGAAGGGAAGTTTTGCGACCCAGTTAGTTTGTTCTGCAAAAGAACAGAAACTCAGAAATTCAGAATAAGAAGGTTAAATTTCTTTGGATTCGAATATGGGAAATATCGACCGGATCAACAAACAGATCATCCTGTTCATGATGACTCGGAAAATGATAATGATGATGATGATGTGTAACGCGAACCTACTCCGGTCTCTTGCAGCACAACGGAGTGAACACACATGCGTGACAAAAAGTCCCTGGGCTCGTATTCCTGCAGCAGGAGACGATACAAGGCTTTGCAGGCGACGAACGACGGCGAGGAATGGCGGTAGGGATGTGGGACACGGAGGGTGGCGAGGAAACCCCAGGCACACAGGTTTGTTCCGTGGGTCAGGGTTGGAGTTGAATCTGTTAGGCAAAGCTATTAACCGAAAAGTTCCATTGAGATACAAGCACTCACGATAAAAAACTACTGTCGCAGTTACCAAACGTTACGTTGAGGATGACTAGATTCCAACAATACATATCTAGGGTAATGTTATTTTGACGCACTCCTCTTGATCATCGACTTCTTAGAATGTGCGGGTGACACCCTCCCCTCTGCGCCCTCACTTGTTCGACGAAGATACGCGAGCAATACTGCATGTTCCGTAGGGACACTGTTGAATAAATTGACTTGACAATGAAATGTATTTTGATTTATAAGGGGAAATTCGTCGTGTACAGAGAGCAAATGAAGCGTGAACTGAAAAGCTAGGAAGCACTGAGCAGCTGTTTCCACCTGATTGGGTTTCATCAGTCCAGTGCGAATCCATCGACGAGGCTGGGGATCGAACCCGGGACCTCACAGGAAGAACGCAAGCATACCACCGCTCGGCCACCGGGCAGCTGATCAGACCGTTTTTCATTTTCCATTTACACGATATAGTACAACCCATGTTTACGAGCTTGTTGCAGGCCACGGACCTCGCTCATCTCAGCGTTAGCATCCGGGGTTGTGACTCGGTTGGAAACAAAATGGAAAACGGTCTGATCAGCCACCCGGTGGCCGAGTGGGCTGCATGCTTGCGTTCTACTTAGGAGGTTCCGAGTTAATTCCCCAGTTGGGTTCCTGGATTCGTGCAATGCACTGGTGAGGTCCAACTAGGTCGAAACAGCTGTCCAGTAGTGCTTCTCAGCTTTTTAGTTCACGCTTCCTTGGCTATATACATGAGGAATTTCTCGTTTGAAATTGAATTAAATCCTCCATTACTCGCAGTTTTATTGATCCAGTAAAAGTCATATACGTGTTATTTTATCCTAATCGATGGCTTTGTACACCATGGGCGTCTCGTAGTGGCTGATGACGCGTAAAGGCTGACCTTGATCACTCCGTAATTTAGACTGATATTGATCCATTATAGATATTTTCAATATATCCAGGTTCCAGCAACATATCAGATGGGACGGGGGAGTTTAGCTAATATTAAAAAGAGGCACTATGGTCAACAAACTCTACGTATACGATTCAGTAAAATTGACATACAAAACTATCCCACTAAGAAATACTAAATCGAAGACGTTCTCGTACGAATAGAAGGGTTTGATTGCTACCGGCAAGATAGACAGCGAAGTAAGAAAAAAACCGAAGGCGGTGTGGCTACTTACATCAATGTTTCTTGGTGTGTCAAGTCAGAAGTTATGTATAACTAATCTGAAAAGTGCATTGACTGTTTGTTTGTTTTCACTCTAAATTTTCTCGTCACAAAAGTACAATCATCACCAATGTGTATATATCTCCCTCGTGTACTCGGACCGACAATGCTGCTTTCTTGGATTCTTATATTCCATTTTTAGTTCCATTATTAGATGAAAATCTCCACTTACTTGTAGGTGATTTCAATCATACAAGCATTTCTCCCTTGCTTATGTTTGGTTTATCTGACCTTTCTCATTCTCCTACCAGAGGCAGTTCTGTGCTGGACAGAGTGATCACAAACCATCCCAGATTATTCTCTCTCAATCTAATGTTCCCGGTTTCTACCAGTGACCATAGTATTCTTCTTGTTAGACCTAAGGTATACTCTCGCATTTCTTATCAAGCATTCACACGTTCTACTCAGATAAAATTTCACCTAAGAGACTTTTCACCCAACCGTATCTCTCTTCTCAACCGTTCTATTGTGATTGTTCAGTCTTGATTTGGCTCTGGTCCTTTGCTTTTTAAATCTATTAATCTGTTCACTGATACGATTAAATTAATCTTTCACTTGTGCTGTCCAATGAAAACCTCGTTGGTTTGTAACGGTAGAATCACCTCGCCCTTTTTGAATTCACTGAGAAGGTACAAAGAACTGGCCTACAAATCTCGTCTTGTCTCACTTGTAAAGCACTATTCTGAGTTATTCAGGTCCGAGATAACGTACCTCAATGCACTCTTCACCGCCCAAATTCTACGAACAAAGAACACCAGGCTCTTATGGCAAGGTATTCGCCTTCTCTGTGGGCAGAACAGAAAACATTCTAATACCTCTGTGGGTGTCAACAGCCTCAACGCCGCTTTCATCCACCCGTCAAACGAGAGCCAGATTCCCTCATTCCTATGCAATGAATCCATGTCAGTGCCTTTTACCAATGATTTAATCTTCAAGCTTCTTCGATCCTGCAAAGCATCCTCAGTTGCAGGCCCTGATGGTCTTCCTCCGGCACTTCTGAAATTTGGAGCAGCTTCCCTAACCAATATGATTACATCCATCGTCAATGAATCCCTATCTTCCCGGTCAATTCCTGATTCTTG